GATTGACCAGGCGTATCTTGAACTTGGACTCTCTGAGGGCCTTCTTGATATACGCTTTCCTTCTGGACCGACCAGCCGTAACATCAATGCCAATATCCACGACGCTATCGCACAGGGGCCCCATGCGGTCGCCGAGGAAAAGCTGAAGCTCCCTGGCCACCAATCCGTCCGAGCAGAAAAGGTTGCCCTGGCTAGCCTTGGAGAGCGAGATCGAGCAGCCGCACTCGTGGACCAGCGCGCGCTCCAATTGCCTCGAACCTTCCTTGATGCCGAAAAGCACTTCCTGAGCTTTCCCCGTGGAGTCAAGACCCGAGTCATCAATAAACTGAGCCGGGAAAATACCCCTAGGAAGACGGAGGTTACCCATCGGCCCCAGGATATACACACGGACAAGGGTCGTGGCCATAGAGCAACCAGCAACCACCCCTCTACGAGCAAAGAGCGGCCCCGCCACAGCAGAGGCCATGCTAACAAATCGCCCGTACCTGTAGGTCTGGATGTACAGCTGAGTTATCTGAATAGGGAAACCAAACTTCCTGGCCTCCTCCTCCAACCTACGATGGGAGAAATTTTCATAAAACTTCGTCATGTCCCAGAGAAGCATCGCCGACCCCCCCCCTTCCTCGTGCTAAGCTCGGCTCGCGCAGCCTGCCGCCACGCCGTGTCGGCAGCGCGCGCAAAGGAACTGCCAGATAAAAAAGGCACGAGCGTTTCTGGCCTCCCACTCCGCGGCCAGCTCCCTTCTGCACTTACCCCAAAGTCTAAACAAGGAAACGGATAAAAAACCGATGGGCCTATATCCCCCTGACGCTTTGGATAAAAGAACCACCTGGGTAATCTAGAGCTGGCGCGGCAGGCTGGAGAGTGATTCGAAGATCGCGAAAAAGAGGCTGACCACCCGCAAGCTGGCGTCGGAGAGCCACGAGTAATGCCGCATGTGAAAACCGTCCACTGCCTGGGCCGTGGACTGCTTGAAGGCAGCCGAGATAGACCTAATGCGATCTGGTGGGACCATTGGAAGAGGCTGACACACCCCCTCAAACATACGATCAGGAGCCTCCGAGGTAGCCTCCCGAAGCTTGGCCCAGCTCGAGGCCTCGCTCTTGAGTAAACTCAGAGGGTCCGTAAGGACCAACCCTCCCGCAGACAAAGTCGTGGTGGGTATCCAACCTGGGGCCTCCTTGGAGGCCAGATGCGCATTCTTTCCCCCCTCCTTGATTCTACTGAGAAGCCAGTTTTTCCACCCAGCCTCACCGTCGCGACGAGCTTCACCTTGAAGCTTGCCGGCATACTTCTGCACAAGGGAGAGCACATCTTGAGCAGCCTCCAGCCACTCAGCCTGGTTCAAGAACGAGCACGAGGGCCGACTCCCTGGTAGCGGAAGCGCTCGCGCAAGAGCTTGGATGGTATCTAGATACTGGTCCCACTCCTCACACCCCTTGATCAGCACGAAAGACGGAGGGTCCAAGATAGCCTCCAGGGTCTTCTGAACTTCAGGAGCTCCATCCCGATACTCAATCATCAAGTCCTGGAACCGATGAGAAACCCACTTGCCCGCGAACAGCTTGGGGTGCCTGAACGGGGGGGCCTTGTCCTTTATGATGGGAACCCAATGGGGCTGCGGTGACTTACTGCGGGCACCGTAAAAGGGCAGCGCCTCCTGGGCCAGGTCACAAAGTTCCTGCTCCGCTAGATCCGCCCACAGGCCGTAGGCCCAGTCCAACATACCTTGGGCCTCCGACACCTTCCCAGCGTGCGCAGTCCCCAGACACCCCTCGGCAACGTTCTGCACCTCGCTCCAGTCGGGGGGAGCACGACTGACACCAATCGGCCTCTCCTTCGGAATAGGCGGCGGCTTGCGAAAAGTGAGCGCGCATAGCTGCGACAGCCGCGGGTACAACTGCAGGTGGACTGGCTTGTGCGGTGACAGCTGCGCCACTTGCACGATGCTCGTCTCCTGGATCCCCTTGGCTATGCCGCCAGCGCACGCAAAATAGTCCAAGAAACTCAGACCTCCCAACGATCTGCAGGTCCCCGAGCCCGACGGTTTGATCAAGGACCCTTCCAGCTTCTCAGGGAAACCAGACTCCAGAAGCAACTCAGGTGCCATATTCCAATCACCCGCAAGAATCGCCTGATGCCCCGACATCTTCACAGTCGCCCCAGCGGTACTCAGAAGGTCCAAGTTTCTGCTCGAGAGCCCCTCACTGTCGAACAGATGCGCTGAGATGACCAGAAACGGAGCATCCCCAGTAAGATGAACCAGAGCATTCGCCAGACGTCCAGGAGCGAGAGCAGAGCCCCACAGAGGCCCGTGAAGACCGAGAAACTCCCGAGCAAGAATGCCCACGCCCCCTGAGGAGCCATCCCCTTGACCAGGAGTCGCAGGACATAGGATGGCCTTCCAACCGTGCCGACTGCACCACGAAGTCGCCCCCTTGATAGCCGACTGACCCACTAAGTGGTGCTCCTGCAGACAAATAATGTGAGCCGTGGTGTTACTCAACCACTCCTTGAACGAGTTCCAGCAAGTGGCGTTACAGGTCTCCGCTCTGAGGCCGAAACCAGAAGGGTCGGGCGGCTCTGGGGGTGCCTGTGGGAAGTCGAAAGAGCTAGCGGCTCCTATCTGACTGGGGACCCCTGGGTGACCAACAGCACAGGCTGCAAAAGGCGCACGGGGCGGAGGAAAGCGGGGACTGCCTCCAGCAGCCCCCTCAGGATGCGACCCCGAAGTCGCTGTCGGGCTCGGAGCTCCCGATGTGGTCGTAGAGCGTGCCGAAGGCGAATTTGGCGAGCCGCTCGCCGTGCTGACGGCCCCGCGAGCACTGGTAGTTGGACATGGCGATGCACTCGAAAGAATAACCGACAGCCGCCTCTTCTCCCCACGCCGAGAAGGGCCACCATCGCCCGCCACGCGATCACGAACAAGGGTCGGCGGGCCCGCCAACCCCCCACACCTCTCGGCAGCCGCCCAGGGACGAACTCACTGGCCCTGCCCAGAAGGCGCAAGGCTTGCGCCCAGAGCTTTACCGTCCCCGACCGACTGGGACCAGGGAAACGTGGAGCCGTCCACAGGGCAGTCTGCCGAGGGTCCGCCAGCGGCGGTGGACGCCCCCCCTCCATTATTCCCCATTGGGGGGGGGGGCTCTGGCCACATTGACGGCTGGGCCCGACGAACAGCTCGACCTCCGCGTCGTTCCAGGCGACGATGGGGCCGAACCAGTCGACGCGGAAATCGCCGCTGGCGTAGCCGATGTAGAAGAAAAAGTACTGCTTCTCGCAAACCTCGACTGCCCACCAGCCTTGGCCACATCACAGTAGTTGAAACGTACACGGCCTCCCCGAGTCGATCGAGACCGACTGCCATGCACAATAATGCCTCGTAACGTGTTACCCGCACTCCGATGCGCCCGCCGCTGCAGCAGCCGCACCTTTGCTTGCGCCCTTCGCCGAAGCTGCTGCGACCGCAGCCCGAGCCTCGGCCTTAAGCTGCTCGCTGTCACCAGCTCCACCCGCAGTGCCTGGCTGGCCATCAGGAGGAACGCCCGACCCAGGCTGAGCAGACTGCCCAGGCTGCCCAGCTGCTGCAGGCGCTGGCTCCTCCTTGGACTCCTCCTCGTCGATCGCGCGGCGCTTCTTCGCCGCCAGCCTCTCCTGCAGGGCCTTGTGCTCGGCCTGCAGGGCCTCTCCCTTCTGGCGCGCCTCACCGAAGAAGCTGCCCGCCATCTGCTTGAAGGACTCGAGCATCTGCTTCTTCCTGCGCTTCGCCTCCGCCAATGCCTCTGGCCCGAGCTCCTCGGACTCCGCGTAGCCGAAAAGGCCGTCGTCGTCGAGGTCCAGGTCGTCCACGTCCCCATCCATGAGCTTTGCCAGGGAGAGTTTGAGCGGTCCCCCAGCATCAGCCGCAGCAGCTTTGCCAGGGGCTCCCACTCCCGCAGCGGCCTCGGCCCCCGCCCCCTTGTAGTCGGCCTCCGCGCCCTCGAGCGCGGGCACCAACTCCGCGACCAGCACGCGCTGCTTGTCCACCTGCGCGAGCAGGTCCTGGAGCACCGCGTTCTCCGCCTCCAGCTTGCTCTTGAGCTTACGGACCCTCGCATGCGCTTTGTTGGCCCTGAGCTGCGCTGGCTGCTCGCTGCCCTTTCCCATCTGGTCCAAAAGCTGCTTGTACTTCTTGGCCGTCTGCATATCGCCCGACTTCTCTGCCATCATGACCTTGGAGCGCAACTCATCCTTTGAGAGGGCCGTGGTGGCCGATTGGGACTTGGCCTGGCTGGCCTGGATGGCAGCGCGGTACTTGTCGGCCATCTCCTTGTCGCCCTTGCTCTCGGCAAAAACGACCAGGGCCTGCATGGCGTCCACACTGAGGTCCACCTCACCCTGAGCAGGAGCACCACCGCCACCAGCAGGACGAGCCCGATCCCTCTTCCACGGAGGTTGCGCATCTCCACCGTCGCGCTCGGCACCGCAGTGCTTGCACCAACGCCACCGTGCCAGGTTCTTAGCACAGCGGCACTCGGGCTGGGAGCAACGCCGCAACTCCCCGCCCTCCGACCGCGGTCGCGACGAAGCCCTCGATGGTGCCCGCGACCGAGGCTTGCCGCCCTCTGCACCCATGTCGGCGAGGTGGCCGTCGCCGTGGTGCCCGCGCAGCAGCCGCCTAGCACGGTCGACTGCCAGCAGGCCGCGAGCCTCCGCCCGCCGCCTCCGCAGTCGCCTGTGCCAGGCAGGGGAAGGCGCCAGATGGCGGCGCCCTCGGCCGTCCGTGACGCCCGCCGCCCCCGGGGCAGCAGGCTGGGGGCTCAAACGAACCGGGCCCCTGTGGCCCGCAGGTCCGAGCCAGCCTCGCGAGGAGGAGGAGGAGGAGGAGGAGGAGGAGGAGGAGGAGGAGGAGGAGGAGGAGGAGGAGGAGGAGGAGGAGGAGGAGGACGACGAGGACGACGAGGAGGGCCTGGTTTCCCCCAGGGCCCGCTGCCCCCCCTGGCGAGCTCCGCGAGCCGGGCCTCCGTCGACGCTGGCCGCCCGGGGCCGCGGCGCCGCCCCGGCGGCCTGGGCCTGGCGGCCGCACGCGCACCGGGGCGGCCTGCCGGGCAGGCCCTGCAGCCGGTGCCCGCAACCCCGGCAGCCCTCGGCGGCGCCCTGTGGGGCTGGGTTCCACGCGTGCTCTTTCGACGCTCTCCGACGCCCAGCTCCCTCGCCGAAACTGGGAATGAAGGGCAAATATTTTGGCCTTCGGGTGGGGTTTGGGTGCTCTGGTGGGTGGTTTACACCCCGCAGTCATGATAAAGGGGAGATGCGTGGCCCCCCACACAGGGGGATTGTCGGCAGAAAATAACACGTACGCAACAAGTGCTCCAGAGATGCCCCCCAAATACTCCAAAAGTGGCAGTGGATGCCGAAAGTCGGGCGGATCCCCCTACTGCACGGCCCCTATGAGCTTAAGTCGGGCGTGGCCCCCTATACAGGAGGGATTTTTCGACGACGAATAAACAATTTGCAACAAATGCTCGCGACGGGATGCCTCTCGCCATTTGCGGCCCCCGGGGCCTCTCCGCGGGCCTCGGGTCCGGACTGTCAAACAACGGCTCAGGATTAAGTCGGGCCTGTCCCCCTTCAGGGGGAGCTTCGACGAAAAAAAGAAGATACGCAAAAAGTGCTCCAGAGATGCCCAACAATACTCCGAAAATGGTCCCCGAACTATTTTTGGACCATTTTTGAACATTCCCCCTGTGTTCGTTATGCTTTCGTGTTTTTTTTCGTTCTGCTCTACCGGTTCTCCTATACCTCCCTGCCAAAACGAGAAACACAACACAGCCGGGGTCCAGCACAACAACGTTCAGGTCCAGCCCCAATGTTGTTTTTCGTTTTGCTTTCGCTTTGTTCTTCGTTCTGCTCTACCGGTTTTCCTGTACCTCCCTGCCAGAGCGAACAAATAAGACACAGCCGAAGCCCAGCAACACGGCGTTCAGGTCCAGCCCCGCCTCCGCCAGCGCGCTCGGCGCCAGCACCGTCTGGGGCTCGCCGGGTGTTGCCAGGAGGTGCCCCTGGCCTCAGGCCCCCTCGGGTGATGAAACGAAACTCGTGTTAGGTCGGGCCTGTTTCCCTAGAGGGGGATTTTCGACGAAATATTAAAAATACCCCAAACTGCATTCAAGATGCTCCAATAGTGTCAAACAATGGTCCCCAGACAATTTTTTGACTATTTTTGAATATCCTCCCTGTAGGGGGACTGGCCCGACTTGAAACTCGCGACGAAATGCCTTTCGCCATTTTCGGCCTCTGGGGCCCCTTCGCGGGCCTCTGGACTGTCAAACAACGGTTAAGTCGGGCGTGTCCCCCCACAGGGGGATTTTGGTAGAAAAATAAAAACTATCTTAAAATACCACCCACATGCTAAAACATAGTCAAAACATCGTCCCCAGACTATTTTTTCTTACTATTTTTGAATATTCCCCCTGTAGAGGGACAGGCCCGACTTCAAATAACGACCCAGGATGAAGCACCAGTCACGGGGCAGGGGCCCAGACCTCTCGGGGTCGACGCCGTTCAAAGACACGACGTCGGGGGTCTGGGCCCCCAGGATCTCCAGGGAGGCACCCGCGACCTCCAGAGCACCCCATCAGGAGGCTCCGAGGGCCCCAAGGGCTCCTCGGCATGGAGCGAAGAGCTGGGGGCACCTGGGGCCAGGGGCACCTCTAGCAACCCCCGAGCTTGTCCCGCCAGTTGGACGGCTTCGCCAAGCACCCACTGGCCGCGGTCTCCTTCCACTGGTCCTTGGAGACGAAGCCAGGACCAGGACAAATCCGGACCAGGAGACACCGGGGATCTCTGAGATTCAGGCAGAACGCTCTGAGAGCGTTTCCGAACGCGCTGGCACGACTTCGCCCCGGTCCAGGCCCCAATTCTGACCCCGCCCGGTCCTTACGTTTCTGCCTGCTGTCTCGCAACCGCGGGTGGGAGGTCGTAGCAAAGAAGCGCCGCCCGGCACTCAAGAGCAGCTGCCCCATCTTCTCCGACAGCGCGGGGCCCAGCCCCCAGCCCTGGTACTCGGGGAGGACGACCAAGCGGTGTTCCAGGTAGCTGATACCACCGTTGAATCCTCCACACATGATCCGCCATCGTGACTGTCGCACGAAGTGGGAGCACTGTCAAGTCCTTGGCGGCCTTTGGCATGACATGCATGAAGGTTTATAAAAAAAAACACGTCCCTAGATTTCCGAGGGCTCCTGCGCGCTTCCGGTGGCTCCCGCGGTCTTGCAAGGCCATTCGCATGACTTAGCGTCGAAGCCCAGCTGGCTGGAAGTTCAAGCCTGCAGCCTCTCCACTTGTTGCTCAGGTGGTTCTTTAAGCTTTCCATTCCCGCCTTTCCGGCTCCGACAGTGCTCAGGAAGCCCCACTAGGCACCCCAGAGGGCCCGGCAAGCCGTCCCCCCCGAGGCTCCCGAGAACCGCCCCCTAAGAGGAGGAGGAGGAGGGGGGGGAGGAGGAGGAGGAGGAGGAGGAGGAGGAGGAGGAGGAGGAGGAGGAGGAGGAGGAGGAGGAGGAGGAGGAGGAGGAGGAGGAGGAGGAGGAGGAGGAGGAGGAGTCAAGTAAGCCAGCTCGAGCGAGTCAAGCATGCCATGCCCATTCCCACCCGCCCTCCCACAACATAAGAATCGGTGCTGACGCAACTGGGGGGCGAAATCAGATCGGCAAGGTGGTTTGGCACAGCTGATGCAGCCGCGATGGCGGTTACCGATGGGAAATTACTGGCGCGTCTCAAAGGCTGCGCTGGCATTTTGGCGAGGATGCCCCAGGAGGCCCCAGGAAGCCGCAGGAGGCCTCAGGAGGCCCCAGAAGGTTGCAGGAAGCCCCAGCAAACCCCAGGAGGCCCTAGGAGGTCCCATGAGGATTCAAGAAGCCCTAGGATGTGTCAGGAAGCCCCGGGGTATCCTAGGAAGCCCCAAGAGGCCTCAGGAGGCCCCAGGAGGATCCACGAGGCCCTGGGCTGGCCCTCGGAGGCACTAATTATCATGCCCCGGGATGTTCCAGGAGGCCATGGGAGGCCCCGGGCGCCCGACGAATTTCCGAACGAAACATGTGCGCTGCGCCTGTGCGGGAACGCAACTTTCAGAAAACATGCGCGCGGCGCCAAGGCGAGAACGACATTCCGTCCTGTGACGAAATGGCGAGCTGGAGGCCCCAGGAAGCCTCAGGAGGCTCCAGACGAATCCACGAGGCCCTGGGAGGCCCCGGGCGCCCGACGAATTGGCGAGCGAAACATGTGCGCTGCGCCTGTGCGGGAGCGCAACTTTCAGAAAACATGCGCGCGGCACCAAGGCAAGAGTGACATTTCGTCCTGTCGCGCGAGACTGCGCCGCGCCCCATTCTCGTCACGCATTTCGCAACGCCGACGACAAGAAAGTCCACGTTGAGAAGAGACAGGTCGCCTTCGTTTTGTTTTTGACTGGTCGGATGGCCCCTCCATCTTGGGGTTGCCCTAGACGTCCGCGCGCCATGTGCGTAGCGTCCCTTTCCTTCGCGCATTTCGCATCGTCGACGACAAGACAGGCCATGCTGAGAGAAAGAACAACGACTTTGTATTGATTTTTGATGGTTAAGATGGGAGGGCCCGAATTGACGGCCGCGCGCGATGTGCGCCGCGACTTATTCCTGCTACACATGTCGCATCGTCGACGACAAGAAAGGCCATGTTGAGAGAAACAACGGCGACTTGTATTGTTTTTTTCGCGGAAAGGGCTTAGGCCCAGGGTTCTCTTTTAGTGTGTTTACCCCAGGTTCTGACGGCTGTAGGGCCAGCGAAATTATTTTGTGATAAATAACGATGCCGCGTAGTGCTGGCGAATTAGAAATTTGAGGATGTCCCTAGCGAAACGCTGTTTTTTTTTCAGAATTTGTTGAGGATGTCTAAAGCGAAGCACTAGTTTTGTGTTATATATTGTTCTTTCCTGGGAACCTGAATTCAGAGGATCTCTCAAATGAAATGCTTGTTTTCACGTGCCCAGGTCTTGAGGATGTCTCGAGCGAGACGCTTGGTTTCATGCCTCCAGGTTGCCCAGACAGATGTCTAGCATGAGGATTTGTTGAGGATGTCTCGAACCAGAGGCTTGTTTTCACATGTGTAGGTCGCCCAGGCGGATGTTTAGCATGAGGATGTGTCGAGGAAGTCTCGATCGAGACGCTTGTTTGCACGTGTCCAGGTTGCCCAGGCGGATGCCTAGCATGAGGATGTGCTGAGAACGTCTTGAACGAAACGCGTGTTTTCACGTGTCCAGGTCGCCTAGGCACAGCACAGCCCTCGGCACGGTACATCAACTTCGAAACCCTTAGCATTGCAGCCTGGCGTGTTGCCTGGCACGTTCCGCGGAGCGTCCCGTGGCGAGTCCCCCTCGCACGTCGCGCGGTGCACGTCCATTGGCACGTTCCGTAGCGCGTCCCCTTGTCACGTCCCGCGGTGCGTGCCCATGGCACGTCCCCTGGCACGTCGCCTGGCGCGTCCCTTGGGACGTTCCGCGGCGCGTCCTCCTGGCATGTCCCCCTGTCGATTAGTTCTGGGGCAGCTACCATCTGCTCAGGCAGCTCGAGCTTCAGATCCAGATCAGTTCGGTCAGGACTCGGATGCCAGGGAGGACTCGATCCACGACGCTATTTTGAGCACGATCCTGGCATGGTACATCGCAGTTCAGCACGGCGTAGCACAGCACAGCCCTCGGCACAGTACATCAAGATCGACACATTCAGCATTGCATGTGCCGGTCGCCCAATCAGGTGTATTTGAAACGTTGCCATGCCTTACTTTTCTATATTCCTTTCCCGGTTCGTGGGTCGATCATGGTTACAGTTAGGATGGGAGGGCCCGGATTGACGGCCGCGCGCGATGTGCGCCGCGTTCTATTTCTGCTACGCATTTCGCATCGTCGACGACAAGAAAAGCCATATTGAAAGAAAAACGGCAACTTTGAGGTCGCGCAGAACCGGCACGTAAAAAGTTGAGGATGTCCCTAGCGAGGCGCTTGCTTTTGAAATCCCGATCGATCAATCACAGGGTGCGGGACACAGTTTTATCGAAGAAGTGCTCTCAGCCTGATGTTTTTGGCTATGCAACTATAGATTGGCCCTCACCAGGGTCGCGAATCCCTGTTGAAAATGTCCCGATGTGTCGAGGCGTGGAGGCGAAGAGGCGACGCGGAAGCATTGCGAGGGCATGCTCCTGATGATTTTCCTGCTGCAGAAACAAGTTTATGATTCGTGGAAGTCATTGCGTCGTCCCCGCCCTCGCTGGAGAGAAGCCCGCGCCCTTGCACCAGCAAGGGGCCGTAATGAGCGCTGCCTGGCTGGAGTCTTCTGGATGCACATCCGGGACCCCCAGCCAGTACAAGGCGCTGGCGAAGGCCCAACAGGGTGGCGATGGTGGGAAAAACGACGACACGCAACGGCCACGCCTAGCTCCTTACAGAGCCGCGGGAGAGCGTCGTGCGCCAAAGGCCCTTGCCAGACGCAGCGAACTCGCGCGCGGCCGCCAGGAGAGCAAGCGCGCGCTGCAGCGACGAGGGGCGCCGGCAGAGAGCACAAAGAGCGCCGGCGCGACAGAGTGGCAGGGGAGCGTGTCGAGAGCGCAGCACCGCGCCGACACGTGACCGGCGCTGGAGGCAAGGCGCCGTCAGGAAGAACCAACATGCTCTCCCATACCCTCTCTTCTTTTGCGGCGATCGATCCAGGCAAGCGGGAGGCGCCGTGGGATCACAAGTTTTTGCGAGCGCCAGCTCGCCTGGCGCCGAGAACCTGCGAGGCCGGCCATGAGGCGTGGAGGCGAAGAGGCGACGCGGAAGCATTGCGAGGGCATGCTCCTGATGATTTTCCTGCTGCAGAAGCAAGTTTATGATTCGTGGAAGTCATTGCGTCGTCCCCGCCTTCGCTGGAGAGAAGCCAGTGCCCCGTCCAGGCGTCCTCGCCTGGGCTGGTGCAGAAATCTGTCAACTTCGGATCTTGAAAGATCGACGGTGCGATCGCCGCGCGCGCCTTCAGCGCGCAATGATTCAGTTAAGCAGTGCAGCAATATGGCCTCCATGTGGCCAGCGTTCGCTGTCCTGGCCAGCGCAGAGTGCGATCTCATGCGGACTTCTGCCTGTCTGGCGCCCGCGCTTCAGCGGCGCGCCCGGCTGCGCGGATTTCCGCGGCAACTGCGAGCCCAACTACACGGGCACATAGGTCTTCCAAGCTTGTCGCAACGGCTCATAATGTCGCGTGCGCAATGGCGCCCTGCACTGCCGGATGCACACTGGACCGCGCTGCGCCCTGCATGGGCTCAGACTGCGATTCCAGACTCCGCCCGCTCAGGTTCACGGGTCGCGGCGGCGTTTTTCAGGCCACCGCGTTGCTTGTCTCAGTGCGCTGCGCCCCTGGCAGGCCGACATTGCCACTCTGCGCCGGCCTGTCGCGGGCGCGACTTGCATATTTTCTCGAGCAAGCCGATGCTTTGTGGCACTGCAGGCAGCTGTGTCCTGCACCCTGCGCGGGCGCAGACTTCGACGCTGACTCGGGCCGGCGCCCAGAGCGAGCCAACAGCAGATTCGCGCGCGGCGCTCGCTTTGCAGAACATATTGCTCGCAACAGCGCCTACAAGCAGCAATTGCGCATTCGAGCGCGTTCCGCCCTTTGCGGCGCAGGCTGCAACTCTAGGTCGCGGCGGCCTGCAACCAGCGCCAGCTGATCATTGGATGGCGGTTGTTGTTCGCGGAGACCTTGCATGGGGCCGTCTTGAAGCGGTCTTGGTGCATCTGCGCGATCTGCCTCCGATTGCGAATTTGGGCCGCGCCTGCGCCTGGCAGGTATCCATTGCATCCTGCGCTCGCGAGCACAGCTTGCCTCTGCGAGAAGGACGCCGCGCCTACTGCTGCGAGCCAGCAGCGCGCCTGGGCGCATGGCGCAGAATTGCTCGCAGAGCGGTCCTCTTGGCGCGCGGATTGCCTACCTGGGCATGGGCTCGCAGTCGCGCCGCTGGTGCCTGGCTGGCGCGTTCGCGCTCTGATTGCCCCTCGGAGCGCGCAGGCGCTGATTTGCTCGCAAACCCGCCGCGCGGGCGTTCAGGCGCAGATGCGGGCGCGCATTGCCACTCTAACTTTTGC